GACGCTTCTCCGAAACACATTTGCTTTACCTCTGCCTAGCACAGAGCCCAAGCAAGACCAGAGGCCTGGACTCCAGGATTCGGGAGCTTCCCATTGCAAGATGCCGCACCAGAAGCTGAACTCAGGAGCACTCTTGAAATGGAAAAAGCTGCTTTGGAGGAGAGCGGGGTTAGCAGTCGGCAGGGGCCCTTGGTCTCGTCTCACGCGCTTGCTTTCAATACGGAGAGAGTTCATGTGACACTGAGCTCTTGCAAATAGCGGGGACTTAGAGAGGTGCACAGGTCTGTGCTGGTCTTCTCTGCAGGGGTGGGTACCACCCTGGTTTATCAGGTGAGGACACTTCTGCACGGAGAGCTCCCCACCACCGTAACACCACAGGTGATGCTGGGTAAGGCACGCAGCCCTCCCTCTATTCTTCAGCTTCCCCATCCTCGCAATAGGTACAATAACCCTGACTTGCCTCACCTAGTGGGGGTGAGGGCTTCTTTACAATACCCATCGCATAGTTTGAGCTCCTTAGCTGAATATATTATAAAGGGCCAAGTATGGCAAACTCCTGTGTAGTTTTTCTAAGAGACTAGACATTGGATTTATACGGGATGGTTTGGATAGGGATGATCCTGCCTCAGGCAGAGGGTTGGACCGGATGCCCTCCGGAGATCCCTCCCAGCCCTACTTCACTATGACCCTCCGCCATGGAGAAGGCCTAATGTTTCTACAGGGTTTAACACGCCGCTACCATAGTCCAGGTCAGAAAGATGCAAACAAATGTATAAAGGAGAAAACTCAGGTTGAGCAAAGCAAAGACAAGGCAGTTGGCATTTCAGTTGTCTAAGAAACTCTGCGTATCCTAATTGCTGCCTAAGCGGTGGAGTCACTCGCCCACAGGTCTCACCAACTGAGGGGCATTTAAGTCCCATTGAGTTTAGCTTCCATACGACTCATCCTGAAGACAGGTTGGTAAATCCCATGCGGAGGCCCCAAGGAGGTCAGGAGAACCAAAAAAAACCCAAAACAAAACATAGCAGCAAGGTGCCTAGCTCCCCTTCTGCTTTTGAAATCTATCTCTGTTGACCTTTGTCATCCTATATGCCCCAGGTATTTTGAAAGCCAACTCTTGGCTCTTTCACTGCATGCGAAAGCTGAAAACGGCAAGTTCCTTAATGAGCATGGGAAGGCATGCCTACTCAAAGCAGACCCCTGGGGGAAAAAGGGGGCATTACGTGAAGGCTAGGGCTTAGTCCACGTTAGAGAGACACTCACTGTCTCTAAAGAACAAGATGACCCAAGGAAACCAAACTCCTTAAGCTCCCAAACGTTTACAATGCACTTGGAAGACGTCCGGTGGGAAGCATGGCAGTTAGATCTTAGCATGTGCATTAAGAAAAGACCACCTAGTACACCAAAACTATAGTCAGGGAGAACTCAGGCTGGAATT